CTCAATGACAGGGACAGTGTGGATGGCCGAGCCGTGCCCAGCCAAGTACCTCAGAACTCGCACCGTGGCAGTGCGGATGCCATGCCAGAACCTCCACAGGATCAGCCACGGCCTGAGGTGCCCCTGTCGCCCAGCGGAGGGCCCCTGACGCCATGCTGTGGGCAGGGCATTTGCTGGGGCAGATACAGCCCAGCTATCCAAACTGACCCCTGTCCTGCACTTGTCACCACAGAGGCCAGAGGGCCCATGAAGGCAATGAAGGTTCAGGCTCTGTGAGTCTCCTAGTCATCATGTCCCCTACCCTCCAGGGCTCACTCTTCTTGTCCTACCAGGTTCAGCCCATGGTCTCTCCACGACCCAGTCCACCAAGAACAGCGTGAAAACTCTGATGGAGGTCAGTCTGCAGGTGAGATGCTGGGAGAGGCTGTTTGCCCACCCAACCCCCAGCCCCCAAAAGGCCAGGCTGCTGCGCTGGGCAAGCCAGACCAGAGCAGGACGGTCCAAGAGAACATGGGTTCTATGCCTGACAGCTGTGTCTGCCACAGCAGAGAAGCCCAGAAACCCAGGGCCGGCACGTGTGGCCTTTCGAGTGCATTGCATCCAAGGCTGGAGACCTAATCTGAGTGTGGGGGACACTCAGGAAGGTGTTGAGAGGGGAGGGGGTGGAGCTAAGCAGCCTGAGCCATCTCCTACCCCCTGCACCCCGCAGCCCCGCTCCCTCAGGACATCTGCCCATTGGTCAGAAGGAGGAGGAACGGGGGGAGGGTGGAGCAGGAGGAGCAGCCGAGGTGTGTGCAGCTGCCGGGAGGTGCAGAGCTGTGCAGGGAAGGGCTGGAGCCCAGGAAGGGAAGAACAGTGAAAGTGGGAGGAAGATGGCACCCCCACACACTTCCCGGCTGACCACGCTCTGCAGTAGCGGCCTTACCTTTGGTCCCTCTTCTTCAGCATAATGGTCTCTAAACAGAGAAGGCAGGACGTCAGGAGGGGGTCCTATGACGGACGGTGCTGTTGACCTCGTGCCCCAGCCCACAGGGGAAGGGGCGAACCAGCCAGTGGGGCGCACTGATACACTCCCTGGGCTGGAGCCTCTCGCAGGGAGTCCTGGGCTGAGGGCTCTGCCCCCACCTTTGGCACTGTTGGGGCTTCCCTCTCTGGTTCCACTGCCTCATGCCCTCAGCTGGGCACACAGGTAGGACAGAGTCCTCGTTCCCCCCACACACATAGCTCCCAGCCTCTCCTACCCAACAGGGCTGCTGGCTGTGATGAAGAGGCCATTTCCCCTTACCTACAGGGACACAAAATCGAGGGTAAGAAATTCCTGACACCAATTAAGCCCCTCCTGCAACCAGGCATGCCAGCACCCCCAGACACCCCAAGTGCTGTGCCCCCTCCCCTCCCTCCCAGCCCCTTTATGGGGTCGTCATGGATCATAATCGTGTTTTCCAAAAGGACCTTGAGAATCCTTCCTCTTCAGCCTCAGAAACACCTCACAGAGGACTGACTGTACCCCGCGACGCAATCTGATGTGACAGACTGTGGGTGATCCATGAGAAAGGGCACGCAGATCAGTGCCGAGTTTTGCTGTGGACACTCCCAAGTGGCTGCTCAGAGCGGGCCGGGAGGCGGGCCTGCGGGGGCCACAGATGCGACAGCTATGCCGGAATCGCACCGGCCCAGCCTGGACCACGTGGGCCCTCCGCGCTGCTCTGGGCAGGACCTGCCCAGTGAGGAGTGGTATCAGCTGTGCGCCGTGGCCCAGAGCAGCCCTCCCACCCCACGTCCAGGGCCAGCCTCGCTGCCCGGGGTTGCCTCTCTTGGATAAGAGGATAAAATGTTCCCTCTGGGGCTATTGGAGCTCCTTTTCTCACCTTTGTCCAAGAAATCCCAGAGCGATTGAGTAGAAAAGCAGAAAGAGACAGGGAGAGGGAGAGGAAGAGACAGAGACGCCGATAGAGTCAGAGAAAGAGAGACAGACAAGAAGAGAGCGACAGAGGCAGAGGAGACAGAAAGACAGAGATAGAAGAAGAGAGAGATGGAGAGGCACAGAGACAGAGACAAATACAAGAGACAGAGGAAGCTCTCTTTTCTCAGCCTACAGAGCGCCGGGCTCCATGGCCTTGGTTGTAGTCTCCCTCCAGCAAGTTACGGAGCTGTGCAGAGTGCCCCGCCCCCCGCCCCGGGCAGTTAGAGGGACACCATCCCATCTCAGGAGGGCAGAACCGTCCCTTACCATGGTGGCCCACAGGTGTGCTTTTCAGGTCCGAGGAGTCGTTATCAAACAGCTGCTTCCTGATCAAGCAGATCTTCAGGGCCAGGAAGCCGGCAGAGATGGCCACGCCCAAGGCAGTCCCGATGAGGGCGTACTTGAAATCTGACAACAGGGAGGGATGGGGCGGTGGGCTTCTCCCCACCCGGCAGAGGTCTTTCTCAGTGCCCTCTACCTTCCAGGTGGACTCAAGGCCGTGCGTTGGGCCTTCAAGCTCCACACTCAACCTGTGGTGGCAAACGTGACCATCCACTCCCCCCGACCCGCCCCCCCTGCACTTCACCACACCCCACCCCTCCTGAGACACCACCCCCAGTCCCCACCTGTTCAAGGGCCATCCGAGCTCAGCCCCTGACAGGCCCCAGCCCCCCTCGCCCCCGGAGGGGAATGGCCATTTCTTGGGCCTCCTGGAGCCTTTCCTGCTCGCCTCTTCATTGGCTGGCTTCTTGGGGCTCGTTGGCAGCTACCCCTCCTTAGTTTACAGGTGGCCTGCTGGGTGTGTGTTAAGTGCTTGCTCTGCGGCCAAGCACTGAAGGCACAAGGCCCTCTCTCATCTTTGAGGAACCTCCTGGCAGTTGGGGAAAAGGGCAACGAGCTCCCTTTAATGCCTTGGGTGGGCTGGGCTGGGCTGGCATGGGAGTCACGGGAGCCAGGGTCCATCTCAGAGGTGACACGTGAGCTGTACCTTGCCCCAGAGGGGGAGGGCAGCTGGGACTGCAGGTGGAGGAATCCATGGGTGAGGCCCAGAAGCGAGGCCGAGCCTGCAGCCTGCAGTGCAGGCCACAGGGTGCTGGGACACCCTCCGGCTCAAAGCACACACCAGGGTGGACTGCAGTCCTATGCCCCCTTTGAGGACGGGCTCCAGTGCACGACCTCGCCCCTGCGATTAAGCTGTGTTGGCCACTCAGGCAGCCTGGGAGGTGAGTGTGGCCCTTACTCTGCACTGACCACAGGGAACCAATAGCAGCCCCCCACACTGGCCTGTGGAGGGCGGAGAGGGAGAGGAAGAGACAGAGACGCCGATAGAGTCAGAGAAAGAGAGACAGACAAGAAGAGAGCGACAGAGGCAGAGGAGACAGAAAGACAGAGATAGAAGAAGAGAGAGATGGAGAGGCACAGAGACAGAGACAAATACAAGAGACAGAGGAAGCTCTCTTTTCTCAGCCTACAGAGCGCCGGGCTCCATGGCCTTGGTTGTAGTCTCCCTCCAGCAAGTTACGGAGCTGTGCAGAGTGCCCCGCCCCCCGCCCCGGGCAGTTAGAGGGACACCATCCCATCTCAGGAGGGCAGAACCGTCCCTTACCATGGTGGCCCACAGGTGTGCTTTTCAGGTCCGAGGAGTCGTTATCAAACAGCTGCTTCCTGATCAAGCAGATCTTCAGGGCCAGGAAGCCGGCAGAGATGGCCACGCCCAAGGCAGTCCCGATGAGGGCGTACTTGAAATCTGACAACAGGGAGGGATGGGGCGGTGGGCTTCTCCCCACCCGGCAGAGGTCTTTCTCAGTGCCCTCTACCTTCCAGGTGGACTCAAGGCCGTGCGTTGGGCCTTCAAGCTCCACACTCAACCTGTGGTGGCAAACGTGACCATCCACTCCCCCCGACCCGCCCCCCCTGCACTTCACCACACCCCACCCCTCCTGAGACACCACCCCCAGTCCCCACCTGTTCAAGGGCCATCCGAGCTCAGCCCCTGACAGGCCCCAGCCCCCCTCGCCCCCGGAGGGGAATGGCCATTTCTTGGGCCTCCTGGAGCCTTTCCTGCTCGCCTCTTCATTGGCTGGCTTCTTGGGGCTCGTTGGCAGCTACCCCTCCTTAGTTTACAGGTGGCCTGCTGGGTGTGTGTTAAGTGCTTGCTCTGCGGCCAAGCACTGAAGGCACAAGGCCCTCTCTCATCTTTGAGGAACCTCCTGGCAGTTGGGGAAAAGGGCAACGAGCTCCCTTTAATGCCTTGGGTGGGCTGGGCTGGGCTGGCATGGGAGTCACGGGAGCCAGGGTCCATCTCAGAGGTGACACGTGAGCTGTACCTTGCCCCAGAGGGGGAGGGCAGCTGGGACTGCAGGTGGAGGAATCCATGGGTGAGGCCCAGAAGCGAGGCCGAGCCTGCAGCCTGCAGTGCAGGCCACAGGGTGCTGGGACACCCTCCGGCTCAAAGCACACACCAGGGTGGACTGCAGTCCTATGCCCCCTTTGAGGACGGGCTCCAGTGCACGACCTCGCCCCTGCGATTAAGCTGTGTTGGCCACTCAGGCAGCCTGGGAGGTGAGTGTGGCCCTTACTCTGCACTGACCACAGGGAACCAATAGCAGCCCCCCACACTGGCCTGTGGAGTGCCTCCTGCCTGCCCAAACCCCACACACAGAACTGGACGGGCAGCACCTACCAACGGCAGCCCCAGCAGACTTGCCCGTGGCCAGCACTTGGGCCCCTCCAACAGCTGCAGAGAAAGAACCAGACCTGGTTAAGACAGAGTGGGCTGAGGTCGGGCCAGGGGGTTGCAGGCCAAATCCTCGTCCCCACCCACCCACTCCTGCAGGCCCCCCTCCCTGGGCCATACTCTCAGCAACACAGAAGTGGCTCAGGATTGTCCGACTCAGAGCAATGCCGAGGTGTCCGCGTCCTCAAAACCCGGAGCAGGAACACAGGCCGGAGGGTTCATTCAGCCAGCTCTTTAGAACCTCACACCCCG